CCTCTCCATGCTGTTTGTAAAACTACAGCTTATCTCAGACGTTTACACTGCCTCACCCTGTGATACGGCAGGCGATATTAGCCCCAAACCTGGTGGGATGCAGCAAGCAAATGTCTAAAAGGTACAGGATGCTCCTGTTGCTACAACAGACAGGAGCAACGTGGAACCAGGTTCACTAAAACACAGTAAAGCAGGTGTTGGCATCTTGGAAAAAAAATAAAATGTTGGGAAGGTTTTCCACACAAACTTGTGTCATCAGAGATTAGAAACTGTAGATACTGTTTAAAGAAAAAAAATTGTGGAAAATAGGAAGGAAGAGAGGGAGGGAGAGAGGATGAAAGGGAAGGGAAGGATGGGAGAGAAGGGCGGAGGGAGGGAGAGGGCATAGGAAAGGAAAAGCAAGCCCTGTTTGTGAGGACTCCAACCCTGAGTGACCTGCGCTGGGCGAGTGCGCAGCCCTGGGGCGGATGCCTCCTCAGCAGCCTCAGGGCTGCAGCCAGGGAAGGTCAAGAGTGTTTCTCACGTGTGCTCTAATTCAGCAGCATCAGCCACTGGATCGCTAGGGAAGCCGGGCAGGCCGCTGGGGAAGCCAGGCAGGCCGGAGATTCCCTATCTCTGGGGGTGGAGTCCTGCTGCATTTTTAACCAGCACAGTCAAGTTTGAAAAACACTGACTTAGGAAAAGAAAAAAATCACTTCAACAACGAAAGCAGTCCCTGCCTTCCCATCTTGCTCCCCCTCCTGTCCTGGCCTGGAGCAAATGAGGAAGTGAAGGGGAGCTGCCTCCAGGCCTTCTGGGGAATGGGGCTGTAGTGGGTGTGGGGGTGGAGAAGTCACCAGAATGGTTGGAGACTGAGCAAATTCACTAACCAACAAATAAGCTAACATTAAGGACAATGGAAGCCAGGTTACTTGCTGTCTCAGAAGGAATTTATACACATGGAAAAGGAAAGGCTGGAAAGAACCTAAGTTACTAGATGAGACATGGAAGTAGTAGTAGAAACACTTTTTAAAATATAGACACTGACAGACACAGCAGTAGTTTTAGATGTATGTGGGCATGTGCATGTACATTGATGGATGGGTGGATGGGCAGGTAGGGGCACTTCCACACACACACATTTCCTGACTCTGCTCAGAGCACACAGAAGCACTGATGTCTCAAAAGCAAAAAGCACCCTGAGCACCCAGGTCTTAGTTTCTAAATACCATATGACACTACAAGGAACTGTCTCATTTGGTGAGGTGGCTGATCCCAGGGGTGAGCAGGGAAAGTACAAGATAAGCCCGGAGCATCTTGTTATGCCAGAAGGTAAGGGAGTACTCAAAGGATGACAAGACCATGTCAAAAGGGCAAAGAAAGAGACTCTTGGCCAAGTCTGGACAATACCAAGAATCAGATTACAACCACTGAATACAGTAAGACTTCATAAATCCATACTGAAATAAATAAAGAGCAGAGAAGAGGAGAAGAGAGGAGAGGAAATATAGCTCTTCCCTACAGTAGAAAGCCACCTAGTAAATATAGAAGGAATGACGGGGACAGGTGACCAACATCAGACAGCTGTTTGAGCAGTGGTGGACATGGGCAGAAATCCTCTGGTGCAGGCTGTGAGAGTCTGATGAAGAACGGGGATGGGTATTATATCAGCATATCTCCCCACAACATGCTCAGCAAAGACAAATTTTAAATAGTGAACGAACATTGGAGAAACCTTGCAGACACCATTCTGACCAAGCAGACAAAGTTAATATCACCAGTGGAGGGAGGGGTCTGTACCCTGTGCCCACTGCTGTGACACCTGGGGAAGAACATGGACCTGCCAAGAAGGCATGGCCTGAGCCAGCCTAGGAGGAGACTGTCTCGGCCAGGAGGTGGAGGGCCATGCTGCAGAATGAAAGGCTTGTACTGTAAGACTGTCAAAGGCATGAAGGCAAGGAAAGACTAAAGAATGCTTCATTTTGAAGGAGTCATGTTAACTAAAGGTAGTGCATGCTGCTGGATAGCATCCCAAACCAGGAAAGAAAAGAGACATCTTTGGAACAACTAGGGAAATAGGAATGGGGTCTGTGGATAGGATGGACGTGTCATGTTAATGTGGGTTTGCTGACTGGAGAGAGGGTGAAACAAATGTGGGAAAATGGTAAAAATTAGGAAAGCTGGGTCCAGGAAATGTGGGAGTTCTCTGTGCTATTCTATCACTTTCCTATAGGGCTGAAATTATTTCAAAATTTAAATAATTTAAATTTTAAACGGCCAAAAAATTCATTGTGTTCTACTGAAAATCCTTTCAGTTGACCCAGTTCAAAATACTGTCTCTTTGGCTGGCTGGTTAGCTCAGCCGGTTAGAGTGCTGCCTTGTAACACCAAGGTCAAGGGTTTGGATTCCTGTACTAGCCAGCGGCCAAAAAAAGAGAAAAGTTACTGTCCTTGATTTTATAGCTCAATTGAAAACATGTTCTTAGGCTAAAAATTGTAGTTTAAGACCTCAGCCTGGGAGACTGTTTACTTCCTGTCAGATTATTTTGAATTATTAGTACCAATGTAAATCAAATGAAACTACACCATAGGTAAACATAAGTTCCTGTGCCAAGATGCCCTGTTTTTATAAAATGTAAGGGTAACAATTAGAGATTCTGTACTTAGCCAGAAGTGCCAAGGGCAACAGGCAGGCTGAACTGGCCAGCTCTGCTGGCAGATAACCATGGTCAGGTCAAGGTGATTTCAATGTAAGGCATGCATTTTCTCAGTTGGTTCCACAGGCAAGGGCTGTAGCCCAGCTCCTGCCAATCATCTTGTGAATGAAGGCTATTCAATGCCATCCTGTTCTGGTATGGGCATGCGGATGGCTGGCTGAGAGCCCACCACTGCAGTCAAGAGCAGCTCCAGAGAAAAGGATTCATGTGAGTAGGTGAGTGAAGGCCTCATTACAAGCCGAGAACAGGGTCGTTCACTTCCTACAGCACTAGTTGAAATTAGATGATGTTCAAGAGCAGCTCCAGAGAAAAGGATTCATGTGAGTAGGTGAGTGAAGGCCTCATTACAAGCGAGAACAGGGTCGTTCACTTCCTACAGCACTAGTTGAAATTAGATGATGCGCAGAGATGGTCCACTGGGAGCAAGAACTTAAAATAATTTTTAGAAGTCACATAATACTCATGAATCATAGTGATAAAAAATTACAAATCTATTCAATTTTCAGTTTTACTGTAGAAAAGGCAAGTTTCTAATAAAGCAGAAAACCAAAGTAGCTAAGAAACATTGGATGCAAAATTAAGGAACATAATAGAGGTGACTATTTTTTAATTCCATAGGCAACATGAAACAGTGCTAAAAAAAAAGGAGGGGGTCTTGTTAAGCACAAAGGTGACTAGAGAAACCATTAGATGTCAACTTTCATGGCAAGGAGGACTACCACATTCTGAAGCAAATATAGTGGCACATCATACGTCCGTTTAATTCACCCATGGGCACTAGGGGGTTGAGAGACCCGGGCCCAAGGACATGAGAGTGACAGGTGGTCAGTGAAGCGCAACAAGAACTGCCAGACTGAAATGCAAATGGACATTTTCCCTACAACTTTGACAAGCGTGGACGCAGCTCAGATCAAGGAAGGTTTAGATTTAAACCCAGCAAGCATTAATTAAAAATCTACTCGATGCCCAGCCCTCTGCCAGGTGCTTTGAAACACATTCTCACTGAGGTCTCACAATGATCTTTCATGTTAACATAGATTTCCGTTATAGAGGCTTCCTATTAAAGGAGAATGGAGGAAACCAGGCAGAAAAGTAAGTACCCGCAGAATTCCTACCAAGTCCCCTCTCATCTCCAGGAATGTAACCATTGTCATAAAGGACCACTGGTCTGAAGGGCCTGATGAACAGGACGTGGCCAAGGGCGACATGTGTCACCACTACGACTCCCACATGCTACAGCGCAAAAGCAGCAGAGAATACGGCCGAGCCGGCCTGCCTGGGCCCACATCCTGCTCCGCCAGCTGCTGACCTGACACAAGTCACTTCTTGCCTCTGTGCCTCAGTTTCCTCATTTGTAACAGCAGGGACAATAACGGTATATGCCTTAGAGCTGAGAGCATTGTATAAGGTATTACATAAAGTTCCTACAGCCAAGCCTGGCAGAAGACGGAAGTAGGAAATAAAAAAGGAATATATTAAATAAATAATGTACAGACAGCCCTCAGATCTGTGGGTTCCACATCTGGGGATTCAATCAACCATGGATAGAAAATATTTGGAAAAAAAAAAGCATGTGTACCGAACATATACAGACTTTTTTTCCCTGTCATTATCCCCTAAACAGTACAGTATAACAACTATTTACATAGCATTCACATTGCATTAGGTATTATAATTAATCTAGAGATGATGTAAAGTACATGGGAGGACGTGCACAAGTTATATGAAATCATATGCCATTTTATATTAGGGACTTGCGTGACCACGGATTTTGGTATCAGCAGGAGGTCCTGGAACCAATCCCCCTCGGATACCAATGGACAACTGTAATGTACCGTAATAAAGAAAACACTACACTTAGATTTCTAAAACAAATAGCAAGTAGCTTCACATGCTTGAAAAAACTGTGTGTTTTGCAATCCAGACCATGAGGCTGAAGTAACTTTCCCTCCTTTCTAAAAAGTTTCATTCAGGAAGATTAAACGGAGTTTGACTAGACTGAATAGCACACAAAATACATACCTCTTAAATACACATAGAGAAAAAGATTGGAGTTGTGTTTATTTTAGATGAAAATAAGGGAAATCTACACGTCATGCCCCATGAAAAGTCTGCTCGATGCCCACCACCCTGTTTCATTTACTACCTGCCCCCAAAGGAGCACCAATGTTTTACAATTAAACTGCAGTTTAACTCGAAATCTATAAGCTTTTTCTGGGCTAGCCAAAACTTATTTTTCCAGCTTCCAGTGCTATGATGCAAAAATAATGTTGCCTTGCAGTTTAAGTAAAGTTGGCCACTTACCTCAGAATAAGCAAGAGTGATATGTTCGTATATTCCCTGGTGGTGGTGAATGGCATCTTCTAGATCCTGCAGCTCCGAGGGAAGGTCAACCTCACCACAGGCTTTACACCATGAATCCACGTTGCTCATATACTTGGAAGGTTGAAAAAAAAAAAAAATTATTTCTATCAATGACAATTTATATTGAGAAGTGGGTATTTTATAACATGGTTTTGAAAATTAGGGTAGTTTAGGAAGATTTTAAGAATGTGACATGGTTAAATCTCCATCTCAAATGGCATTAATGTGAGTTCTCAAATTTGATTCCTGGACTCCATCCCCAGAGATTAGGTTGTGGCAGGATTGGGGCAGGGCCCACCAAACAGCATTTTAAATCAGTGCCTCAGACACACCCCTGGAAAAACACTGCCCTGTACTGTCTGTTTTGGGAAACTTAGTTAATTTTCCCAGCCTGCCTTTGGATCTGCGTCTCTAACTGTCCTGCACTCCTAGCAACCGAGAGCAGAGACAATGCCTGCCTCCACAGCCCTCCAGCCTCAACCACACTCAAAAGCAGGGCTCTGCTTCTCTGCAGAGCTGTTTTTCAGCCTTACTTCTTTCCTCTTTAAAATGCTAACAAAAAGCTCAGGTATCTGAAATCATTTGCCTAACAGGAGTAGCCAGCCCATTTATCTACCTTTTCAAAGGAAATTAACAGAGGAACTAAAAGGAGACCAAGCAAAAGTGTCCCCATCTCGCCTCAATCTCCTCCACTGCCCCCACCTCCCCACATTCATCAATAGCTGATAAATCAGTATAGAATCCACCAGTTAAGTAAGTGTCAAAGGCAAGCGCAGAAGGCCCAATTAAAAAAGCTAATTCAATTAAGCCAAACAGACATCAACACATCTTTAAACTTAGCAGGGAAGGCAGAGGATGGCTATTTAAAATGCAGTAACTGACAGGAAATGTGCTATAATTCTCTTAAAGTGTAAGGAGAATAATCTCTCAGTTTAGGACCATAAATTAGACAAGTCAGCCAAGTAATAATTGTTTATGAAAATTCCTTTACTAGTACCATATTGGTTCAGAAAAACATCTGTATGCAAACCTCAGGCTTAAAGCCAATTCATGCAGCAGTGAGTGTCACCTGCTAGCAGGTGGTTCCTGACAGCTTCCAACATGACTGGACCCCTGAAAGCACAGGCGGGTGTCTTCAATATCTTCTCTCACGGTGCCCTGCTAACCCTCAAGGCAATGGAAGTAGTAATAAAATTACTTTATACCTCTCCCCTTCCCACATATGTACATACAGACCAACCCAACTTGCGGTGGTTCGACTTAAACAATTTTTTGACTTTACAATGGGTATATCAGGGTATTAAATGCATTTTTGTCTTATGATATTTTTGACTTAAGATGGGTTTATTGGGACGTAACCCCATCCTAAGTTGAGGAATATTTGTTTATGACTACTTAGGCACATTTCTGAGTATTTCTGGGGTGAAGTGTTCTATAAATGTCAATTAGGTAAGGTTACAGGATTCTAAGTACTCCTGAGCTCTATTTCACTGTATTTTCTTCCATTATTGCATTTAATACAAATCATTAAATTATTATTAACTTTTTTCAAATACAAATTGATTGAGGTTAACTGTCATCATTAATAAATTATCAGGTCCAAGTTAGGTATGATGGCCATTGAAAAACATCCCATCCAAAAGAAAAGTTACAACATATTCCCTAAGAAGAAATAAAAATGCTTCTGATAGAACAAGGTGAAAATAAGTTTTAGTTATATAATATTTCATAATGTAATGAACAGACACAATTTAATTATATCAGACTGATATATCATTGTACAAAATCATTATTAAAATATTTTCAACTCCAATTTTTGAAGCAACCAATGAAGAGAAACATTCAAGAAGTTTTATATATGCCTGTAATTAAAAAAGTAAATAACTTATAATTTCTTAAAGTATCCTAAGAAGGCACTGATTATACTAACCTGAAAAAAGGTAGCCAGGCTTTAAATACATGGGGAAGGATGGTTTGCAACGTGAAGATCATGTGGAAAAAGGATTCTGCCCATCTAAATTTACTGGGTTAACAAAGCCCAATGATAGAAATAATCCTGACCATGGTTTTACAAGGACTTCTGCACAAGCATCATTTTTCTGTCCTTCACTGAGAAGATGGCAACACTAGAATCCAAAGGGCAAGTTCTAGGCTGTCACTGCTCTGCGAAATGTTGAACACCCAAAGGCTCAGCAATCTCCCTTCAGAGATCCAAGGAAGAGGATGCTGACAGGTATTCCACCAAGAAAAAGCATTCTGAAGTCATGCTTGGTGTCAAAATTAAACAGGTACCTACAGAATAGACTGTCAAACCCTTTTAATAAAATAATGTGTACTGTGACTGGGGGTGGAAGAGCTGGTATGTCAGGTCCCAAACTTAGTGCTCACAGCTGCATCGGCGCCACAGCAAGTGCGCGGGAGCCCAAGGGCCACTGCCCTTGCAGCCAGGAGGATGTGCTCCACAGGTGTCAGTGAAAAGGACAATGGCTTTCTTCACACCCCACTTCCTGCACCACCCCAAACTCATGTGCATGCATGTGCACACACACACACATAGACCACAGAAAGACACACATACACACCGACACCACACAGACACACATGCAGAGACCACACAGACACACAAAGACTGACACACACTCACACAAACCCCCCACACACACACACACACACATACACAGACCTATTAACATCTTGATAAATACAGTTTGGGATTGCAACACTGGGGGAATCAGAAAATGGCTACTGTCCTCCAGTGAGATCAGAGCAGCCAAATTAGAATTTGATGCTTTAGATGCTCTGTAGATCAAAACATGTCAGCACCTGGCTAGACTGGGGGTAAAGACAGGAGAGAGCAAGGGAATTAAATGCAGCTCCATGAATTCAAATCAGGAGGCTGCCTCAGAACTGGGGATTCTGTTACTAAGCAGAATGGTGATTTTTTTTTTCTTAAGGGTTGCCAAACAGAAGATAAAAGGAGTTTGGATTAGCCAGTTTGCAAAATTGAGGCAAGCAGATGAGGGAAGAGTGACTGATACATACAGCCTCAAGAGGCAAACTTGAATAACTAATTGGCAGATTTGTTTTCCTAAGCATTTACTCCACCACTCTCCATCTGCTGGGGGTGGGGGAGTGGTGGGGCTCCAATCTTCCAGCCTCCCACTACCCAGAGCGCTGGGATCTTCCAGGCTGTGAGTTTCATTCCCACCCTCTTTCACCCCCACTACCTCGTGATGGAGCATCAGCAGAGCACAGGTGCTCAGCCCGATTTAGGAAACAAAGAGATGGAATCTTCCTAAAACACAAACTTTTAAAATATTTATTTAGGATTTTCTCCTCTTCGGAAAAATTGGGACCGCTTGAAAATTATGCACTTAATGCACCCACACACACACATTTGAATTCAAACTTCAGAGTTCTTGCTTTTCTTATTTCTAATTTCTTCCTTTTCCTTTTTCTTTCATCATGTCTACTCCCTCTCCTAGGTCCCCTCCTCCGCCCAGGGAAATCACAGGATAGACCAAACATTTCCACTTGTGAATCCAGCCCTGACGGCTCCAATACAGAAACTCAGAGAAGTCGGGTTCACACTTAACCAAAACATGCCAATGATCACTCTAAATACTTTAAATTTGTTTTCATTAATACCCCTTTTCATTTTTGAAGTACACAGGGTACTTCAAAAAGTTCATGGAAAGATTTTGTGGGCTTGTTGGTTAGCTCAGTTGGTTTGAGTGTGGTGCTGGTAACCAAGGTTCCAGGATTCAATCTCTGTACCAGCCAGAAGCCAAAAAAAACCAAAAACAAAAACAAAAGAAAGAGAGAGAGAGAGAGAGAGAGAGAGAGAGATATTTGTATTAATTTTTAATTCTATTTTCCCATGGACTTTTTGAAGAACCCTTGTTTTTTTTTGTGTCAGAAGCCAAAAAAAACCAAAAACAAAAACAAAAGAAAGAGAGAGAGAGAGAGAGAGAGAGAAAGAGAGAGAGAGAGAGATATTTGTATTAATTTTTAATTCTATTTTCCCATGGACTTTTTGAAGAACCCTTGTTTTTTTTTGTGTTGTTGTTGTTGTTTTTAAAGCCCAATTCCTTTCTATTCCATGAGAATCTTTGTTTTGTTTTTTATCAAAGGTCAAGAACTAGGCCTAGGCTTTTAATAAAAATGTTCATGAAAAAAGAATATACACAAAGTGAAACAAGATTAAAATGGGAACAATTACATGTGTATTATCTGTCTTAGTAAGTAAGTCAAAGGGAATAATGAAGCAGTACTCTTGTTATTTTCCCCTCACTTTCAACCCAGGCCTATGATAAAATTATCCAATTGATAACTACCATCTGTCACATTTACAGTAATGTTACTTCTAAATTTTTTTATGGGGCTTGTTGGTTAGCTCAGTTGGTTAGAGCACAGCCTTATAACACCAAGGTCACAGGTTCAGAACCCTGTATCGGCCAGCTGCCAAAACAAAAAAACAAAAAACCTTGACATCTGAAATTTTTTATGGAAAGTGAAATTTTATAAGAATTTTAATGTAAGTGCAAAATAGTTTGTTATTAGGTCAGGAACTGAAGACGGAGTCCCGGACCTCAGAGAAAGTCCCTGCTTTGGGAACATGGACAATGGTCCCCCATCACCAGCCCCCTCTACTCCACTGGGCTGGTTTAAGGATGAAATGAGATTTCATGTTCAAGGGCTCTGTAAATGTTACAAAACTATACAAATACTGGTTGTTACCTTATTTTTGACTCTTTTCAAAGTACAGAAGCCCTTAAAGGCATAGATAAAAGATTTATGGTTCACTCTGATGGGAAACCTCTATCAGCACTAACAGAACTTTCTTCAGAGATGGAAACCTGTGTCTGTGCTAAATGCAGCAGCCACTGGCTACATATTGCTGCTGAGCTTGTGAAATGTGGATACAATGTAGCTCTAGATCACTGTTTTTAACAGTAAAAATTGGAGATTTTAAGGTACAGTAAAATTAAGTCACTTCTTTGTTTCATACAAATGTAATTCTAATAACATTTGCTGTGGAACCTTCCTAATATAAAGGAGCTGTCCAGCTGATATGCCACCTGACTAAGAAAAGTGAAGGGTGGAGCCTCTGAACACACCCACTAGTAAAATCACTAACATTGCGGTGTCTCTGTGTTTGTGAACGAGTATTCTGATCCCACACATTCACTGGAGATGATGACATGAGAGAGACATCTTTGGAAGGCATAACATCTATGAAACAGCATTCTCATCTAATTTTAAACTTCAAGATTTAAGTTTACAAAGCCATAAGCAAATACCAACTCAAGAATACCTACGGAGACAGAGGGCAGGCCTTGGTGTCTCAGCTAAGAGCTGTAAACTTCCCAGAGAACATTAGCCGTGGAGTCACGTATTGGGGCCCTATGTCCTCTTAATCACGAAAACTGCACGGGGTTTAAAGAGGTGGCTATGATGGAAACCTAACTTATGATGTCCAAATTTCTGGTACTTCCCAGATTGAGCTTATAAACAGTTTACACATAACTACAAGGTAAAGCATTTAAAAAGAGAGAACAAAGTTGACCTATTTTTGTGATTGCTGTCCTGGGAAGAGGAACCTAGTAGATGTGATCTTCCAGACATCAGAATTTCAAGGATCTTGCTTTTATTCAGTGAGGGGAAAGAGACATATATTTTTGCTCAAGAGTAAGGAGGTACTCTCTGAAGACGTCCTAATGTTCCACCTGCACGTTTCAGCTGTCTAGGTGAGGCTTTGTTGCTTCATCAGGTCCAGAATGCATGCAGGGCCCTTCGTCATTGGGATCCTCTCTCCCTAACCAATTTGGCTTCTTCTCTGGCCACTTCACATGCACTGAGACCTCAGGCACTGTTTACACATGAGCACATGAAATTATGTTCAGTAATGTATTAATCTACTTTAGTTTCTTTCAAATCCATAAATCATAGCCATTCATTTATCCAAAAAAAACATCTCAGGCTCTTGCAACTTTGCTGCATGTTTGAAATTTTTGATCATAAGGCATTGGGTAGGAAATGCCCCACGGCACCACATTTCTAGATTATTTTCAGGCAAGTCAGAATGGCAATTAATCTGCTGGGTTTATTTACAACTCTGAATCCCACCATGTTCGGAAAGAGATTTTCTAGATGTTGTGCTTCAGACTATCTGCCATCTACCCAAGTAGCTTGTTCAAATAAATGTACTCATATTATCTCAAAGTCAAAATAATCAAGTACATATCTACTCTGTATAATGATAAGGATCTGAGGTGGCCACATTATGAAGACGTTATCATTATTTTAAAAAACTGTTTTTGTGTATAAGCTTTTGTATCATTTATCAAAAAATTAGTTGAATGCATAAGGTTAGAAAGCAGAAAAATCCTTACCACTGAAACCTGAAAGTTCCCACGCATAGCTTCTGCATGACCCTAAAGAGATTTTCTTCTCTTTATGGTTTGCTCAGTTTCCTCTCTTGCTTCACACATTAAAGGTTTCTAAAGTTGAGATCGCTGCTAATTAGTGTCTCGTGCAACATTCTGACTACATTACTGAAATCCCAGGCAAGCTGGGGCCTCTATTTTACCCTTTATTGACTTCACTCTTCAACAGAGACTGACTCTCAATAAAAGAGATACTATTTCCTTCTTAGAAGCATCAGTGCAAATCCCTATGAATGCAGTTTCCCCCAAAAATTAACCCTGAGAAAGTTATAGCAACATTTTTCCTTTTAAATAAAGCAACCACTTGCTTCTTCCCCATAAACCTGCCTTCCTAGTGGCTAAAATTTCCTATGCTCTTCTTCCACACCTTGAAAAGGTCCTTTGCTGTGCAGCACACCTTCTACTGAGGGAGTCCGAGTCACGAGCACACCCTCCCCTGTGCTGCCTTCCCAGGGTGTTCCGTTGAGCAAATTTGCTGGAGCAGAGGTGTATGGAGGTGTGGGGAGTGTCACGGGCATCCATTACATATAACCTCTTACACAAGATATTTTGGAAACAGCACATCAGCAAATGAAGCTAATATGAAGTCGGAATCAGAATCCATACAAATAATCTAATAATTATGAAAGACACTGCTGTAAGAAAATAATCTAAGTGATTCATTTTCAGAAATAATTCAGGCCCAGCCCCGAAAGTTGTCTGACTGGCCCAGCCCATTCCTGGGGGTGTGTGGGGGGGGTGTCACTGAATTGACAAAGTTCTCCTTGAGATGGTAATGAGTTATCAGCCCTCTATTGTTTACTTCAAATGGATAAAGTTCTCCTTGAGATGATGATGGGTTACCAGCCCTCTACTGTTATTTTCATTACCTAATGTTTCTCCTTTCACAGGGTTTCAGTGGGCCTTTTTCGCAGGCTTGTCCTGAGCCCTCAGACAAAGAAATTTCTTACAAGCGGTTAATAAACTGGGGTAATCTTAGACGTCATCGGGAAGATTGTGCACCCTGATCAATGAGGAGGTGGGGGCAGGGACTTGCGCACTAGGAAATAAACTGCTGGCTACAGCCCTTTTCCACGTGCCTGCCCTTCAAACACCCAAACCTTTCAAGGCCATAATTAAAGTCTTGCTTCGCTGTACCTTGTGTCTCCGTGTCCATCCTTTGGCCTTGGACGGGTGAGGGCATTTCTCACAGCTGTAGACTGCCTGCCCAAACGCCATTTTTCCACCGTTGCCCTTGCAGACAGAGCCTCCATAAGGCCGTGGAGGCTAAAAAGCTAGATCAGCACACCCCCACCTCCCAGGGGCATGGACATGCACCCCAATCCTGGCCAATAGGAACTGGAGCTGGGGTGGAAGAGCCTTCTGGAAAGAATGGTTCCCCAACGAAGTGATGGGGTGAAGGCACCTCCCGCTGTCCCTGCCTATGGAGGAGTAGGCGCCTGGAGCTGGGACACAGGTTTCGTGAGCACGAGGAGAGGCTAAGCAAACCCGAGAGAAGCAGACTCCAGCCCTGACCCAGTCGTGCAGCTGGAAGCGCCTGCACCTTGCAACTTCTTGTTTTGTGAGAAAAGCAAACCCCTGATGTTCAAACCACTGACAGGAATTCTGTTACTTGCTGCCAAAGCATCCTAATTGGCATAATAAAGAGGTAACAATGAGTAGGAAGGGGAAAGGAGAGGAGAGGGGGAGGAGGGAGAACAGCAGCTTCCACTTATTAGTGTTTACCTAACACAGATGATCACATTTACATGCTAACACAATCCTCCCATGCAGATACGGTTATTTCTACTTCACAAATGGGAAAACTAAAGATCAGAGAGGTTAAGCAACTTGCCTATGATTGCACAGCAAGGAGTTCAGCGAGCTGGGATGTAAACTCACCGCTGAGTATCTTCAGAACTCACAGTAAGTGCTACACAAAGTCCTCCAAGGACTTGGCGCACATTTCGAGATTACTGGAGGAGGAAACACTCTGGTTACCACCTGGTGGGCGAGGGGTTACAGGCACTGACCTTTTCAGCCTTCTGGTGGAAGATGGAGGACATGTCCAGCAAGGTGCTCCGCTCGTCCAGGGCTGCCGCAAACGCCTTCCACTCCTGCTCCAGCTGATTCGCAATCTGTTTGATCTGCTGAGAGGCGTAGTGGCCAGACTCCACCAAGCGATTTGCCACCGACATTATGCGGTTTATATTTACATACACATTCTGCAAAGTGGGCAGAACATGAGGGCTGGTTAGGGGAAGGCAAACAACAAGTTCCTTTCTAAGAAACCCACAGAGCACTTTCTAAAACACAGCCAACTAAACATTATCATATTTTTAACCAGGAGAATCACCTGGTATATAGTATTATACATATGTCCTCTCTGGATTTCCATAAACTCTAAGTGCTGGTTTCAATTTCTATTTTTAAAACTGTAAAGTTACAAATCGACTAGCTGAAAGCAAAATTGTCAAGCACAAAGCAATCAGATACACAGTGGGCGCACACAAATACACTGTCACTCACTTTTTGGCCTCAAATGCTGAGAAGGCTCCAGATGGCAAGCCTACTGACAAGCAGTCACGCAGAACTGAAGGAACCGCCACTTCAGTTTTTAACTAGAACCCAGAAACTAAAAAATATGGACTTAGCAACCAAAGGCTATTTGTGTGAAAACAAGCTCTCTTTCCTGCATAAGCCTAAGTCATTTTTTTGGTGCCAACAAAAAAGTCTTCTGTAAGTGGATCCACTTTCTCCCAAGAATATGAATTGAGGTAGAAACACAACAATGCTATATTCAAATTGTAAATAAAGCTTTTCTACTCTGTCAAAATTCCCATCTTCAAGTCCACCAGTTCACTATAAAAATAAGAATGTGAGGACTTAGAACAAAAAATAAAAAGTAAAAAAATAATCTCCCCCCCTTCTTGCAAAGCAAGTTCTCTTTATGGCACCTGCCTTTCCACCTTCAATCTTCTCTAAGGCTCAGTTATTACACGGAAGGCAGTGCGTGGGGGAATACACACCTTCAACAAATCCCATGCTGTTGTTCTTCACATATTTGTGATTTCTGTCACCCTGTCAATACGCTGCTCCTCACTATGGGTCCCCCAAACCACAGACACATCTTTGGCTCCTCCAGGCTTGCCCCTGACAGAATTACTCAATCTGTCCCAACTCCTCTACACTTTTCCTCCCTTCTCTCCCTTCCCACCACAACCCCTCTGGGCCAATCTCCCACTGCCTGGCACATGGACCCCTGCGACGGCCTCACTGTCCCTTGGGTGTCTGCAGTCTGCCCAAGTAAGCGGCCTAAAAATCTCAATCACCCGTTCTGTCTATTCATCCTTTCCCTCTATTTCTTGTCCCACTGCCTGGCACATGGACCCCTGCGACGGCCTCACTGTCCCTTGGGTGTCTGCAGTCTTCCCAAGTAAGCGGCCTAAAAATCTCAATCACCCGTTCTGTCTATTCATCCTTTCCCTCTATTTCTTCTTTTTTTTGACCGGTAAGGGGATCGCAACCCTCGGCACGGTGTGGTCTGCACCACGCTCAGCCAGTGAGCACACCGGCCATCCTATATAAGATCCGAACCCACGGCCTCAGCACTATCAGCACCGCACTCTCCCGAGTGAGCCATGGGGCAGGCCGTGACCCAAATCAGAACTTGGTGGAGTCGCCTCGATCTGCAGTTAGAGAGCCACAGGACCCCAGCCTCTGAGTTACTTTTCTGGGCTGCATCTGAAGGCTAGAATTGCTAACAGACAACACCTGTCTCAAACAGAGGGAGAAAGAGTACCCAGTGAGGCTGTGACAACCAACGCCTCGATTGGAGAGAACTGACCTCACGGCCTGTGTGACATTAATGCTCCATTACCCTTTAAGTTAAAAGCAATGCCTCCTTTCTCATGTGCATTCTTTCTCTCTCTCCCTCCCTCCTCGAACAGCGACAGGTGACTAGATTTGGTAATTTCGTTTTCTCTGTGTCCTTAACGAGGAAAAGCCAACCCAAACGGTGTGTTAGGAAGAGCAGAAGAGGCCCTCTGGTAGGACCTAAGAACTGCCCATTCAGATGGCTCCACTGTGGGAACCAGTGATTCGTCCTGGTTCATACTTAGATTCTGTTACACTTTCCTGTATTACTTTTATATCCCAGACAGATTGTACCAGTCTGTGTGTGATACTTTTTCCATCTCTCTGTCACTTGTAGCTCACATAAAGGAGTATGGCCTAAGTACTCCTAAATAAGCAACTGTACAAAATACGGCAATGTGCGATTCCCTACAGTCAAAGGACCTACACCTACATTCTTATCATCACAGCTTTTATAAATATCTGTCACAGTGGAAGGAGCACAAATTGTTAATATGTTTTCTTTAAAGATGGTCAACTTTGTGTATTGGTACCTTTTTTTGTCAAAAATTGTTCAAAACACTGTAGACAGTAGTAGATGGAGTAAAGGTTAATAGGTCTTGTTATGCATAAATAAATGTCACAGACAGACACTAAGGATTCATGGAAGTGTTTAAAACAAGCGGCATGACAGGTCTGGAAAGTTCCCCCAGCAGTCATCAATCGGCCTGGTACAGAACTGCCACATACTTTTTAAATAAAAATTTAACTTAGAAAAGTAATAAAAGTGTATTGTAGAAATAAGAAAATATACTAAAATCTAAAAAAACAATAGACATTACCCATACTTGTAAGAGATTCTTACCCGCTTTAACTGTATTTTTAATTATATTAATAACATAACTGGTAATAATTACCATTTACTGAGGTCTTACTCAATGCTTAGTGTCTTACATATCTAGAGTAAATGAAGTATGTAACACCATGGAAGGCAGCTACTATCTCCACTTTATAGATTAGGAGATTGAGGCTCAAGGATGTTGAACAGCCTGCCCAAGGTCACAAGGTCAACAGCAGAGTCGCATTTAAAACAGCCACCTTCATAACCCACCCTTCTGTCTTCCACACTCTGCCTCCTATTCTCTTGATTTCTAAATCTAAATCAATATCACTAATAACGTGGGGGCGGGGGGGCGGAGAGTATATGAGTATATTTTCTGTTCATTTCTAGGATATATTTTAATATTTCTAGCTTTTATAGTATGTGGTATGGTGAACTGAATGTGCCCTTTGCCATTAGTTGAAGTTTCAGAAGATTCTGAAAATTTGATAGTAACTCTTTAGGAAGAAATCCTTCTAAGAAATCACCCCCACAGCTCTCCTTATCTATTGCCAGATTTAATGATTTAAACTGGAAATTCTCTTTACCTCACACTTTAGAACAGATATAAAAATTTTTGTTTATTACAACATTTATATTGCTAAATCTTATCTTTGAAACTACCTAAATTGTAGCACTTAGTTGATCAAACTTAATTAAATGGCATCATAATGAATTAACTTAAACAAAGACCCTGCCTTCATATCACTTTAATGCTCTGTAACAAACGTTACAAGGCTTAAAAGTAGTTAATTCTCACAAAGCTGACTTGAAGTCCCAACCAAAACTGCTATATCTGAGGAGGAAATTTCTAGAAGCTTAACTGTCTATAGAAGCAAGCAGAAATCCTATAGAACAACACAGAGTTTTATTTTAGTTGCATTAACTATAAAAATGTAACAAAAGTGCTATTGAAAACTCAATTTTTTTTTTTTTTTTTTTTTTTTTTGCGAGGTAGTCCTACCATGACCCCTACCTGGTCTAGAGGGCTCTGAAGGCAGCACAGCAACAGGCCAAAGGTGTCAAATGTGTCAACCTCAGAGAGCCAGGGGATTCCAGGCAAGGCTGAAGGCCAGAGCCCAGGCCTTCAGTTCAACATGGAAGGAAATCTCACATTTGAGGAGAACTAGAGTGTGTCCTAGAGGTAAGTAGCAGGCTGGCTTCTTTCTCCCTCGTGAACAGCAGCCGGCATCAGCAGTCTGTTCAGGACACTCACTCTGCCTCAGAGAAGCTCTTCGGGAGCCCCTGCAGGCTCCTAAGCAGCAGAGCACAGGAGCCAGCATCAAAACCACCTACGCTGAATTAGCCAAGTAAGCGGTTCAAGTTTCACTGGCTGGTTTGTTTCCTTGCTTTCTATTTTTGTTTCTTTATAACTTAAGATACTTAGACACTCTAACACTGGAGTACTCCCTATGTGTGACAGTCAGCTGCTATAATCAAAACAGTGCCTCTGAAGGCCCACACTGCCTCCCATGAGTGTGCTGGTATGATATCTGCTAAATCCCATGCCAGGGTCCATCTGTCCTGACCATATCTTACCATACAGTTCATAGCAAAGTGATTGTGCTGCGTCTGAAGCTCCATTGCATGCGGGTGGCTGGTCCCAATCTCCGTGTAGCTGTTTAGAAACAGGCCTTTGTTGTGTGTGATCCAGTCAAACATCTACCGGAAGGAAAAAGACAACCTAGAATCACTCCAGAAAGAGAAATGACTGATGCAGGCCCAGGGATGGGGCTGTACCAAGAAAGGGTGACTTCCTTTTTCTGACAATCTCCCAGGCGTTTGGACTTGCAGGATCTGCAAGAAAATCTTATCTAACGTGTTCCTCATACAGATGAGGAGTTAAGAAGCAGGTAAGTAAAGAGGTATTCAAATCCCCCAGGCTAATTAAAAACTCTCATCTTTTGACTCTCAACCAGCCTCCTTCCCCTACTAAACTGCTTAACTTGCTCCTCTGCTCTTCAATTAAAGACCCATTAGGTGAAATCAGGGACTTATAGGTCTCCAGATAGGCTTTGCGATGCCCACAGATTACCAACAGTAATGCCAATGATTGAAAGATTATGCTCTTTCATGCAAGAAGTATACAGAAGTCTATGCAAATACATACAATAAAATTTACCGTCAAAATAAAAAGGACTTGAGAAAAAATTTAACGATGACACAACTGCTAAGGTTCAATGCAGATGCTACTTGGACAAGAATGTCAATTAAGATGTTCACAAGGAAAACATTTAAGAAAACAGAAATGACTACCATTAGCACTGTCATTGTGACTTAAAATAGAATAGCAGAGATAGTAACCTGTTTTTCTAGTAACTGGAAGGAAGAATTTCTACTACTTAAAACAAAGATACACTGAGAGATTGTTCAAAGCTTATCATATAATAATACTGGATTGTCACCTTTCAAAATTTCCTTTTATATCAAAGATTTCTAATGGAGTTTTCTACTTATAAAAAAATTCAATAAACCCCCAAATGATTAATTCACCCATGTTCATGGCTTACAACACATTCCTATAAATAAGTATCCTGTTTTTAGCCAGTAATTGACAAGAATTCACTTTGACCAGTTGGTTTGTTTGCTGCACAAAAATAAAACATGAGACTATAGGTAATTATTGCCTGTATTAGCCAGAAACTATTATTTTTAATGTATTGCTCACCTTTTATTTAAAAAAAAAAAAAATAGATGTGAATGATGTTCTGTCACTGGCTTTGTATGAAGAAAGAGCAGGTATTAGCAAAATACTTACATGATTACTGCTTTCAATAACATAATCCTATGAAATTTTAACTCTTTTAACTGAAAAA